ATTTTCAACGAGTTCTAGCACTTCTGAGTGAGCCAGAAAGTTCCCTGATTGGCCAACTTAACATAGATCGAAACTTGGTTGAAGTGCAGAATGGCTGGTTTTGGTCTTTCTCTGAAGGAGCTTTTGCACAAGGAGTGATCCCAGAATCAGAGGTGAGAGCATACGTTTTCATCAGTAAAGGTTGTTTTAATTCCGTTATCACAATTTCCTTGGCTACAATTTATCTGCTGGCTAAAATGACAATGTATCTGTTCAATAGAAACGTCGTTTTTCTATTACTATACAACATAATTAACCTTGGAATATGTCAAATCAAGTGCTATTCAGTTTCGAGTTACCTAATCTAGGACTACTCCTAGTTTGTTGGCGGGTAAAGGTTTCTACTTACGTATTTATTACATGTTTGTATGTTTTAACAGTTCTTTTTTTTTCTCTTTTCTACAACGAGGTATCACATCACCAAGAGCGTATGTCCACTATGACAGCCTCCAAGAGCCCGATCCTTAATACTTTGAGCAAATTCTAACCAATAGCCTACCTGAAGGGCAAATACAACAGTTTGCGCTGATTTCCACGCGCTATTCAGAGATAAAGAACATAAGCGACCTGTGCCATGTGCCATCGGAGCTTCTGACAGCGGCAAAACGAGCCTGTTCAGCCCAGTGTTTCAAATTGTGCCGTTAAGACGAATCGCCCGGGTGACCAAACAGAAGAGCTTTAACAAGTCGATGACTGACAGCTCCACGGAAGTCATCTTTCTCGACGAGGCATACAACAACCTGCTCGACATAGATGACTGAAAGATAATTTGTCAAGGCGGTTTTACATCCCACGATGCAAAATGGAAGAAGGCCCAGGGGTTCCACTGTTGTGCAAGTATGTACATTACATGTCAACAGGAGATGGACTTTGGCGAGGCTCACAATGATGCGATGAACCGAAGACTTCACAAGTACTTCTTCAGAAGGTTGCCGCAAGTTAACCCGGAGGCCAACCAGTGGCTGCGAGAACATGCAATGTACTGCATCGTATGGGCCCAAAAGATGGTTGCTACAAACTTCACTACCGCACAGACTGAAAGGACTTTAGGAGAGCATGAGGACGGTTTAGAAAGTGAAGACATTCAGAGAATTTTGTCCGTTTCCCTACTGGACGACCACGCCCCCGAGTGCAACACGGAAGGCAGTGAAATCTCACTCATGGATGAAGAGGAGAGTGAAGCCGAAAGCGACAGCTCCGATGATTTAACATATTGTCTGAATACATATCTGCCTACAGGAGGCACCATAGCTGTGAGACATCTTTACTTAGGCTGACTGAGGACTGGAGGCGCAGTCTAGACAATAAAGAGATCGTGGCAGTTATATCAATGGATTTGTCAAAGGCTTTCAACACCATACCTCATGCTTTGCTATTAGCAAAACTGAAAGCGTATGGCTTGCACGAATCCGGCTGCGCCCTTATCGGTGACTACTTGACGGATAGAAGGCAGCGAGTGAAAATTGGTGATACTTATTCGGATTGGATGAGTGTGAAGCGGGGCGTGCCTCAAGGCAGCGTCCTGGAGCCCATGTTTTTCAACATGTTTCTCAACGACCTCATCTTTCACATTAAGTCTGTAAAATTAAACACTTATGCCGATGACTGCCAACTGCACTCATCTGATGTAGACCCAGTGGCCTTGGAACGGCGGATCAATCATGATGTACAAATAGCAAATAAATGGTTCGAAGACAATGGGATGAAAGCAAACCCTGCTAAACATCAAGGGATGGTTCTTGGCAAAACCGATTACCCTTTCTCCTTTTTAACCACAAGATGCCTGGATCTTTTTGGAATATCTCTAGACAATGAACTTAATTTCAAGGATCACATATCCTCTGTATGCAAAAAAATAAATAATCAGTTCAGTGTCTTCAAAAGATTTGGCAAACTTATCTCATCTGAAATTATGCTTCGCCTTTATAAAGCGTTTCTACCTCGCATTTGCATACATTCTGAGATCACATGAGATAGCAAGTCACGTGACTTCGAGCTCAGTGCGAGTTTGATTTCGGGCAAGGTCGCTTGGAGCACTAGTCGCTCCCACAAAATTTTCAGTAATTTCATCCATTTCTCGTTCAGAGCCTCTAGCCGAAGATATTAGCGATGTCAAAACAATCTGAGGACGATCTCCTCGCCGACGAAATTGAGGACGAGGGCGAAGAAGACCAGATAAACAAGGATTCGCTACCCGACGAACGCAACGCGGTGCCTGCACACGCTTCCCGACAACTCCAGGACAAAACAGCCGCTTCTTCGGAAGACATTAGCCAACTCACCCACGCAATTCTAGGCCTGACGAAAAGCCTGCCAGAACTCATCAATTCGCCGCGGGGAGAGACTAAAGACAAAGGGAAACGGCCGGCGAGCAAATCTCCAAACGCTGTTCCCGCCAAAAAAGCAAAAAACAAAGATGGCGAGGCGAGAAGCTCCACGAGCGCCTCCGACCAGTCAACTGACTGCGAGAAACTCTATGACTCTGTGTTAAACAACAACAGTGATGAGTCAGAGCAAAACACCACTCGTAGTGGTGATGAGGATGATTTCCTCTCGGAACTCCTAAAAAAGAATACGAGTCTGACGATATCGTGGGCTTAAAGCCTCGAAAATGAGAAACTAGCCAAGCTAGTTGACAAAATGTTCCGCTGCAAACTAAGCGAGAAAAATCTCAAAGACCGGCTTGAGAGGCGGGAGAGACCGGCTAATTGTACTACAGCCAAGCCTCCCAAGGTAAACCCGGGCATTTGGCGTCGACTGAGAGAGCCAACTAAGAAGAGGGATTTACAATTTTTCAAAATATAACAAGCCCTCACAAAAGGCATCCTGCCAGTTGTCCGAATCACGGACAAGCTTATGCAGGCAAAATCGCTTAATGCTGATGAATGCCAAGACCTAAAGAAACAGGGGCTGGAGGCCATGTCCCTCCTCACTCATGCCTCTTATGAAATAAACATGCAGCGCCGTCTTCTACTGAGACCAGATATTGGGAGGGAATACTTAGCTCTCTGCTCCTCCCAATTGCCATTTACAGATTTTCTCTTTGGAGATGATCTACAAAAGCATTTGAAAGATATTGGCGATCAAAACAAAATCGGGGCCAAGATCACCCCTAATTATAAAGGGCATCGCCCTTCTCCAGGAAGACCTGGCAATAACAGCTATAATGGCTATAAGCAGTCAAAAAACTGGAGAGGCAACAACTTCAAACCTTGGAAATCCAAGAACAATGCCAACCGGGACAAGACAACCCAGACAAGCCAATAGAACACTTGCTGCCAGCTACTAGCACAGTAAGTATATGTTCGCCTCTTTGTACCAATGTATATATTGCTGGAAACATAGCTAAGCATTTTAGTGCTTGGCAGACGCTCACGTCTGACCCCTACATTTTACGCATCGTTAAGGGTTACCAACTAGAGTTTTGCAACCCTCCTTGCCAGGCGCTCACCCCTAGAGCTGTCAAACTTTCTTGTAAAGAGACAGATATTGCTACTACTGAAATTAACAAGCTTTTAACTAAAGGGGTCATTAGGAAAGCTACTCATGTTCCTGGTGAATTTATCTCAACAATTTTCACCAGGCCCAAAAAAGATGGGTCTCACCGTCTTATTTTGAACTTGAAAAAGCTAAATGAGCATATTGAGTACCATCACTTCAAGATGGATTCACTGCCTCACGCACTTCAACTTATGAAGCCTAATTGTTGGATGGCTGTCTTAGACCTAAAAGACGCATACTACTCTGTTCCTATTAGGACTGAGGACAGAAAATACCTTCGTTTTCGAGCACGAAGGCCAACTTTATGAATTTGTTTGCCTTCCTAATGGCCTCTCTAGTGCACCCAGAATTTTTACCAAATTGTTAAAACCTGCCCTTGCCAAATTAAGGGAGGAGGGGGTGCTTCTAGTAATTTACATTGATGACATTATACTTTTTGCCGATGACCCTCAGACATTGGTCATATTTATACAAAGGGCTATTACATTGTTGCAGTCTCTGGGATTCACCATCCATTCTGATAAATCCCAACTTGTCCCATCCCAGAGAGTCAATTTCCTGGGTTTCATTTTAGACTCGGTTGTGATGACAGTCTCTATGAAATCGGACAAGGCTGATAAAGCGAAATCAGCCATTTTACAGCTCCTCAGAACGGAGCAGCCTCTTATTCGAGAGGTTGCATCTGTAGTTGGGCAAATGGTGTCATGTTTTCCTGGAGTCAAATATGGCCCACTGTATTACCGTGCTCTTGAAAATGACAAAACTGATGCTTTAAAGACGAATGGGTGGAACTTAGATGACAGAATGCTCATCTCTGATATAGCTAAGAAAGACATGTCTTGGTGCCTTTCAAATATTGACAATGATCCATGCTCTGTCCGGCCTATGAAATACAAATTAACCCTTAAATGTGATAGCTCTCTAGAAGGATGGGGAAGTGTTATTGAAAATTCTTCCCTTGCCGCAAATGGGCGATGGTCCCACAGTGAGAGTATGTGCCACATAAACTATTTGGAGATAAAAGCAGTCCTGTTTGGCCTTCAGTCCTTGTGCTCAGACTTGACAAACTGTAACATCAAAGTATTGTCTGATAACCAAACAGCGGTTTCCTACTTGAGAAATATGGGTGGCACTCACTCGGGACTGTAATGAGATTGCAAGAGAAACTCTTCTGTGGTGCAAAGACAGGGGCATATCCTTAGCTGTCACCCATTTACCTGGAAAACTTAATGTTGAAGCTGACCTAGCAAGTAGACATTTTCATGATGACACGGAATGGTCATTAGACACTCATGTTTATAACAGCTTAATTACTAAATGGGGTAATCCTGAGATTGATCTTTTTGCATCACGGTTGAATGCAAAACTGCCCTGCTACGCAGCATGGAAACCTGACCCATGTGCCCGTTTTATTGATGCCTTTACACTTGACTGGTCTGTGTTTAAACTTGTTTACTGCTTCCCACCTTTCAGTGTTATTGGGAAAGTACTTCAGAAGATAATATTCTCCGAGACAACAGCAATCCTAGTTCTCCCCGACTGGCCAACACAGTTTTGGTACCCACGAGTAATGTCAATGCTAGTGGCGCCTCTACACCGAATAAAGCTGCAGACGTCAACCCTGACCCTTCCCCACGATGTCAAGAACGTCCATCCCCTCTACCCCAAGCTCCGACTGATTGGCTGTCTTGTGTCAGGAAATCCCTCCAGCTGCAAGGAATAACTGGTGAAACTTTGAACATTATTATTGATTCTTGGAGAGAAAGTACCCAGAAGCAATACAGATCCAGCATATCAGCTTGGATAACTTACTGTAAAGAACAGAAGATCAGCATTACAACACCTTCATTACCACAACTGTTGGACTTTCTAACTCTTCAGTCCAAAAAGCTTAGCTACAGTGCTCTAGGGACCACTAGAAGTGCTCTTTCCTCATTCATCAATATTGACGGCTTCAAAGTAGGAGAACACCCTATTATTTCACGTTTTATGTCGGGTGCTTTCAACAGGAAACCAACTTTTCCCAGATATGTGGAAACACGGAACCCCCAAATTGTTCTCAGCCACCTCAAGGGCTATCCTGACACCAAGGAAATGTCTCTGAAGCAATTGACTTTGAAACTGACTATGATTTTGGCCTTGGTTACTGCACAACGAACACAGACTCTTAAGTTGCTGTCAATCAATGACATGCAATCTAAAGATGGAGAATATGTTTTTCAAATTACTTCCATTCTAAAGCAAACAAGTGCTCATGGTGGCAGGCAAAGACACCTGCCACCTATTGTGTTGAAGAAATATGACCATGATAAAACTCTTTGCGTTTTTACATTGTTACAAGAGTATCTTATTAGCACTTCTAACTTAAGGGGCTCATGTTCTCAACTCCTGATTTGCCACTGCAAGCCTCATGGGTCTGCTTCTAAAGACACTATTTCTAGGTGGCTCAAACAAGTTATGCTTGACGCTGGAATTAATACTTCTGTTTTTAAGCCTCACTCCACCAGAAGTGCAGCCACTTCTGCTGCAAAGTCAGCTGATGTTCCTCTAGATGAAATTATGACCACAGCTGGCTGGCGTTCAAGCTCTGTGTTTGCTGTTTATTATAACAAACCACTGTTAAATGATAGTTCCTTTGCCAACAGTGTACTGGGAAAGAATTAGTGCCTTGGTAATAAATGCCATGCTTACGTTTCCTTATCTGGAATGTGTATTCTTTATTTTTTGAGAGCCCTATAGAGCTCTAAAATCTCATGTGATCTCAGAATGTATGCAAATGCGAGGTAGAATTGAATAATTAAACGAGACTTACCTGTAAGTTGAAGTTTGATTGAGATTCTACCCTAGCATTTGCAGAAATGAAGAGATCACATCCCTCCCTTCCCCTTCCCCTGTTCATATCATCCTATGGTGTTGCATACACCATATATTTACTATTCATCTATGGGGTGGTCTACAGGACTCCTCAAAAAAAAAAAAATATGCTTTCAAGACTGAGCTCGAAGTCACGTGACTTGCTATCTCATGTGATCTCTTCATTTCTGCAAATGCTACGGTAGAATCTCAATCAAACTTCAACTTACAGGTAAGTCTCGTTTAATTATTCAATTATCTTACCCCATTTTCACTACTGTTCAATGATATGGCACTTTTGCAATTCAGAAGATTCTGTCAAACTGGACACCGTAAATAGACGTATTTGAAGATTTGTTTTAAAGGACTGGGACTCGAACTATGATGCTCTTCTAGACAAGGCTGGTGTGTGTGGTTTAGCCAACAGGAGGATACAAAATATGATGATTTGTATATTCAAATGTCTCCATTTTGGTAAATATCCGTGCTATTTAAAACAACTGATCAAGTTAAGATTTACTGCTTACTCCCTACGGGGTACCAATATTTTATCACTTCCTAAGCCGTCTACAACCACATATGGTCTAAATTCCTTTAGCTATTCATCTGTTAAGTACTGGAATTCTCTACCTGATCACTTTAGAAAGACTGTAGATTATAGTGAATTTAAGCGCAAATTGTTAGTGCACGGTTTTAGTTAATACTACATTAATTAATATTATATTATATATGTTGTAACTTTTAAAATTAGTTAGGATCGGAGATACTAGCTATGTAAGCTACACTAAAATCCGAGGAAAATTAAGTTTATGTATGTATGTATGTATGATGAAAATGAAGATAACAACCACATAGACAAGCTTCGCCATGAGCTCGAAAAGACGGTGCCGGGTGGGTTTCGGCACAGACAGCTGAGCATGCTCCTGCGAAACGCTCAAACACAGCACAAAGCCATCCAAGATCGTCAAATCGCTGGACGTCGACGATATCTAGTAAATTTAGGAGTGACCAGCAAATCGCAGGCAGATCGACTAATTACGCATCCCAACGAGCCACTACCAACCGACCTCGCCCGCAGAGAACAACAGGCCTTGAATGATAGGGCAGAACGTCTCAAAAAAAAAAAGGGAAAGAGATGAGCAGGAGAAAGTAAAAAAAGCATTCTCTAATCCGTGGCTGTGTAGAAATAGAAAAAGAAATGGGCAAGAACAATATGCGTTTAGAGAGAGGCACAGACCCCGACTTGAGTGCAACGCTGACGAGTCTTTTGGAGATCGACTGTGAGAGACTCCGCGCATTTCACGAAAAACAAGTTACCCTTCGCCTGCAGATGGCTATGGAAAAAAGGAAGGAAATCTGTGTGAAACGTGGATTAGTAGATCCTGGGTACGCGAGTTCCGTTAGAGATGTTTACTCACCTTTACCGGTTATCGTCGAGGTTAGCAACCAAAACTTGTCCAGGCCAACGGCTTCAAACGACGATGGTAATACGCCAAATACAGGATCTTACGAGCCGCCTGAGGACACGCACCAGACGATGTTTACTCCACCTATGAGCCAGGAGGCCGTCGAATCAGAGAGCGAGGACATGATCATTACACCGAAGACACCTTGTTACGAGCCCTCATTTGATGAAAGCATTGGCATAGGCTCTTCACCATTACTGAGGCGAGTACCCTTACCTGACAACAGACCTTCGAAGCGAGCAAGACTCTTGAGAAGCCAAACAACCAAGGGACAGAAGCGGGTGACTACCTTTTTCAGTTCGCAGGAACGTGTAAAAAAGTAGGATGAACTTAGGTGCCCGTACATGCAATGTAAGAAATGCCAAGTTAAACTAATTGTATATCAATGCTTTGTTGTCAGGTTCAAATACCACATTATTTTTGCATGTTGTCTACGAAGCCCCATGATGGCATGGTCATGCCTAGGAATTCAGTAATTAACTAAATATTGACATTATGGATTTAGCTTACATTATCTCTTCCTTCTATAGCTGTTTCTCGCATTTTATATAGGGCTAGAGTTTGCAATAATTCATTTATTTGAGTTCAAGAATTTAAGATAGCTACATGCCCTTGAGTTCGTTCGTTAAGTAGGACCTTGTCAACCCTGCGTCGATTTTGAATATGATCCAAATCTTCGAGTGGCTTGGCTCAGAAGAGAGTTAGCCGTTCTTCCCTTTTGGAACTGAAAGTCAGGGTCTGTTAGAATCGCTTTCCATTGCCCAAATCCATGCCGTTTAAGTCCAGCTTTGAGAAATTTGTCTTCCTCGGGGGTGAACATTAAACTCTTCCGTCGCGTGCTTGTTTCGGTCACTCTGAACGCATTTTCGCGCCTCAATTTTGGCACTCCTACTAAAGGCTCGCGTGTTGTATCTGTGGTTACCTCTTCTTCGTCATTAGAAGACGTATCGGTTTTGCCAACATCTTGTTCTTGTGAAGAACTTGAATTCTCAGAAAGCCTAGAGCGTACGTCCATCTCTAGCTCTGATCCCCTCTCACCCTGTAGTCTTTCCAAAAATGCATGCGCTTTGCTGGCGACTTCGCGAGATCGCCGTTTTTGATGGTGAACTCTTGCCACAACAGAGCTGTGTTTCTGGTCCTCGGAGATCGCACCTTGCGCGTTGCTGCTAATAGTTCTAGAGCTTGCCGTCTCCACTATTTGGTGGCAGCGAGCTGCGTGAACATACTTGCCTGTTGCATCGAACACCAATTTACTCAATTGCTTCTCCTAGCTTGTTATGTTGTCGACCATTTATCGCGACTAAAACATAATCACAATTAGGCTTGACAAGTGGGCGAATGTCGTTGATGTAGCCTTCTAGCACTTGCATACTGGTGTCTCTCAGGAAAAAAGAATCAAAACGATACTTTCCAGCTGTCTTGAATTGTTTTTTATCTATGAATCCCCCGTTCGTCTTAGCTTTGTCGACCATTTCTACGGTTAGATATTGGTATGTCATCGGGCGTGAGCCTTTAACCTTGATAAACAAATAGACGTCCAGACATTTGGTAGCAAACGATAATTCCAGTGGCGAAACAGTATCTGGTTTATCCCTGCATGTTTTAAGCACGCTCTCGTAGCGCGGCAAGTAACGCCCCACCACCTCTAAAAGCTCTTCCATGGTGGCCCAGTGCCCCTTGGCTTCTAAAGCGTCAATATCGAGTTCGCTGGTCCATTGCAACCTCATCATCTTCGAGACGGTTTTTCGTGCCCTTTTTAAGTACATTTCTGCTGTCGAAAGGCATCTCCATACTGTTTCTGATGCGCCGTTTACTTTTCTGAAATCCGCTAATTCTGCAATGGCGTCCAAGTAACCTATGCGCCCGCGTGTCCGAGTTTCCATTCATCCTGCATCGTATCAACGAATTTAAATAGGAGATTCGGTGAACATAGGCTAAAATCAACAATGCCAAATGTGAGTTCCTCTTCGTCTTCGCAAGAGAATTTGAGAAACTTTAAACACCTGCTGACAATTTGCTGTGCTTGTCGATCGCTTTTACAACCCCCGCCGCTGCCAATTAGCCATGAGAAAAAACTCTTAGTAATGTTGTTTTTCAAGTCGAATGAGGCAATTGCTCTCGTTGTACGTGGAATCGTCTGATCGTTGGCTTCAATTTTCTCGGATTGATTATGAAACGATTCCATTTGAGCACTGCTTGGCTTCTCGTCCAAGTAATAGTACCAACTGTGTTTGTTTTTTACGTGTTTTCTACGGCCTCTTTGCGCAGTGAATCCATCGTGGTTACAAATCTGCACTGGGCAGTGAAAAAGACCATCACAGTCATCCTCTTCTAAGTGAAGTCTCTTTGGTTTAGGCGATCCATTTGCTAACTTTGACCAGTTGACATCCTTGACTCGTTTGTTCATCTTAAGCATTAGCTTGAAATCGATGTCTTTCTAAAGTATGCACGCACTTATACTAGCTAAAGGGTCCCAAGAGATCATCCTATTCGCCAATGAGATTTTTGTTAGCCCATCTCTGCCCACACTTGGTCATTCTTGCCCCTTGCCCCATTGTTTTCTTGTCCGTATTTGGTACACAATTATCAAAAGGAACAAAGAGACAAGCCTGAACTTGCGCGGGCAAACCCGAACGCGATTGAACATGTAGCAGGCAAGTCTCGTACTTAACTTGATTTTTGAAGGATATATGTTTTGATAAATTTGTATAGTGGAGGTGATGGACAGTAGTTTCAGATAGCCTACGATAAATAGAACTATTGTTCCTTATTCCTTTTTACACTTTGCGCAAAATGGAACAATAGTTCCTTTGTCACAAATTCGGAACCTCTTCCCTTTTATACGCGGAACATAACACTCATCTTGAGGAACAAAAACCCACCTCGATTAAGAACAATTCCGTTCCTGTTGGGCATGAATAGGAACAATTTGAACCGAAAGGGAACAAGGCGTTCCGAACAGTAGTGGATAAACCAGTAAATAGGAACAATTTGTTCCTTACTGTGTAGAGCGAGAAATTAGATTGGGAACATTTGTTCCCCAATCACTTCGAAATGAACATGAAGGGAAATCGGAACTATTGAAAGAGGAATTTTTGTTCCTGAAAGGATTAAAGAGGAGCCAATTGTTCCTTTTTACTAAAATGAAAAGGAACTTGTGTTCCAATTTGCTGCTAACGGACCAGATTGTTCCGAAATTTGCCGACCTCTGTTCCTATTGTGCAAATAAAGTTCCTTTATTGTGCGTTCCTAGGTTGTTCCTAAAGCAATTAAAGGCAGAAATTTGGAAGAATTTTGCGATTAATGAACCGATAACGTCAAAAGCGCAGCTTCCTTGTAGGTTAA